GATGGAGGGGCCCAGGCCACTTAGGGCAGCACCAGCTGGGGCTGTCAGATCTAACTTGGCACCCGTCAGTAGTCACAGGTGAGGTCACACGATGGCCACTGCATGCCCAGTGACCAGGACCCTGTGAAAGAAGGCTGGGGGTGGGGCCGTTGGCGGGGTGGGGCCGTTGGCTGGGTGGTGCTGACAGAAGAGCAGGCTCAGCTGGGAAGAGCAGCCCTCCCCCCTTGGCATTTTGTCCTCCCTTTTGCACCCCCATGGGTAGAACCTAAAGGGAACCAGGTAGCACAAAGGGTGTGGTTTTCAGAGTCCCCCCACAGTGTGGGGGAGGGGCAGCAGCCTAGGTCCCCCAGCGAGAGCAGACTGCCTTGGTGTGCCGTGTGGGGTTTTCCAGAACAGATTTGTGCTGGTTTCTCTTCCTCCATTGGCTGCAGCCTCTGGCTCCGTGATGGAGAAATTGAAATTGGAGAAGTCCTGATGAATCCCAATCCTGGAGCCAGGGAGAGGAGTGGGAGGAAAACTGGTGGGACTTGCTTGTTACTTATTGGTTTTAGTGACTTGGGTTATGGTGCCTGCTCCCGTATCGCCTGTGACTCTGCATTCTGGTTCTCTTGGGATAAGCCGTATTCTCAAAGTTTCCTCTTCGKTTATATTAGATGAAGGGACACTCCTGTTGTTCCCAAGTCCCTTCTCTCACATCTGCCTCTCTTTCCTCCCTTCACAGTGCCTCTGCTTGCAGGTGTCTGGATACTGGCTCCCAAATCTCATCTCCCCCCAGGAGGCCATGATTAGAAGTGGTTTATGCTTTAGCAGGTTTATCCTGGCTGATATGTGTCACTTGCTCCTTTTCTAAGGGACAAGATTATGGGTAAGCAGAGTTTGTAGAGATTGGGGCCAATCAACTCCCGAGAGTCATCCAGTGCAGCAGAGCAGCTTGGCCCCTTTTCTGTTTCTTCCACTGTGAACTGGTCTTGTTTTCACTTGGTCTGTCTTTCCAGCATGGGATCATTCCGTCTTCAGGCTCTTCTCTCCAAGGGAAGATTCTAGGAGGTGAAGTCATCTCATTCTCTACTCCTACTCTTCTGTTTTAGTCCTGGCAGGAAATAGATTTGTGCTGCCTATGTCAGAGAACCTTCTGGACTCCTCCTTAGTGGCTGAATTCTCATAAAGCTGGTGAAAGTGTGGTTCCATGTTCTGTTCTTCCTTCCTGCTTCCTTTACTGGTTTAGGGGACAGATTTCACAGTCCATTAGCAGTCACAGCTGTAAGCCATACGCTTCCTGCCCTCCCACTTGGGCTAAAAGAAAAGCAATCACTTCCTCAGCGAGGGTCAGCCTGGCTCCCTGGAGCGGACAGGGCTGTGGATGTTCTGGCCCCATCCTAGTTCCCAGCCTGACATCCTGGATCCTCAGCATTGAAGATGGGCCACAAACTCCTTCCAGAACCTGGCAGAAATCTGCATGTGCTTACCATGTCGTGCGCAGGTAACCAAGATTGAAATTTATTTGCCTTTGATTTAAGTACACACATTCTCATGGGTACCTTGGGTATTCAGGCTCATCAGGTTCTTGCTTTGGCACTTAACCTAAGAAAATATTAGAAAAAGAATTATGAATGCAGGTTGATAACAAAATCTTCCAAAATATGGAGTTCTGTAAGGGAGAAAAGAACAAGGATTGGAATTCTGAAGACTTAGAGTTTCTTGCTAAGTTGATGAGCACTAAGATAAATTTAACACACCAGTTTGAAGCTATCCTAGGATAATGTCCTCTTTTCTCATCATTTAGGGAAGTCAGTCCTCCACACCAGAATGTGCATTAGTGTGTGTGTGTGTGTGTGTGTGTGTGTGTGTGTGTGTGTGAGAGAGAGAGAGAGAGAGAGAGTCAGTCAGTCCTGTCATCACATTGGAAGGTGCCAGGTATTTGGCCTGTGTTCTCTGATGGTCCAGCAGGTGGTTGTTGGAAGTCCAAACCTGTCCTCTCCTGCTCTGGGATGTTAATTGCCATCTCTTCATCCACCTCTTATCTGGGCTGTTCTTGGGCACTGCAGCAGTATTTACCCACAGAGAGACCAGACGGTCCATTTTTTGGACTCCCATCTGGAGCCTGAAAACCTAATAACCTTGGGGCAATTCCATTGGCTTCCTGGGGACTTTGGCTTAACATCTCTGGGCCTTCCTTTTACCAGGAATCTACTGCTGCTTGCCAGACCATTTCTTCTTCCTTATGCTTTGGTCTGTGCCATTGAGGCAGATTCCTGTCACCCTAGCTGGTGGGACACTGCTGTCTTGGGCTCAGGCAGGGCAGGCAGCATTTGGTTCTCCACAGGCAGCTAAACAGTGGCTGGGATTTATTCTCCCAAAAGGAGATTTGGTTTAGATCAATCAGTTTTTTTGTGTGATTTAACCTCAGTCTGGACCTGAGTGTCCAGGTGAATAGACCTAAGGCATCTTCTGATCAGAACAGCCCTTGAACCTGGATCAAAAGGAGTTACATAGCAATTTGAAAAGATCTGCAAAGGGTGCTGTCTTCTGGTGGCTGTTCGAGGTTTCTTCTAATGCTAGTGAAACGTGGACTCAGACTCTCCTACCTTCTTGGTCCCCCCTTTCCTTAAATTGGAGGATATAAATTGGGGAGATCCAGCTGGGGCATGTGTGTGTTCTCTAAGACAAACTCGCCTGGGCTCAGGAAGCTGAGGAGAGCAAGCGTTGGAGTCTTGCTAACTTGGGTTTGAATTCTGGCTCCATTAGTTTTATAGCCTTGATCCCACCGCCTGCCTGTCAGAGCTTCAGTTTCTCATTTTGAAGATGAGGCTAATACCTGTCTTGCAGGATTGTGGTGAGGATTAAAGGAAATATCATGGTAGCATTAGCCAAGTGCCTGGCATAACCACACAAGCAGGTCATGGGTAGGGGTGCTACTCAAAGCTTTCACAGAGTGATGTAGAGTCAGCTGCACATGAGGAGAAGCTGCCAGGCTGCCACTGGAGTTGGTTTTGACTTTTGTATCCTTGTCCCATAGAGGCAGAGTGTGAATTAGAATGTGAATTTGAATGTTGGTTTTGCTTTTTGGTTTAGATCTTTACTAATTCCGTGGATCTCTGCACCTGGTTCCTCTGGTCTGAGCTCTCAGAGCTGTCATTAGGGATAGCACTCAAGCCTGTGAAGTCCCTGTGCTGTGCCTGACACTCGGGAGGGACTCTTCAATGACACCGTTTTAAAAGTCCAGTTCTCTAATCTTAAGCATAATTAAGTTGAGCATAATAGTTTGTAGAAGGAATGGTGAAGTGGCAGCCCTGTCTACATGGGTGTATGTACACAGGCCACCATATCAATTTTTTGAAGGTTTAGAAGAATGGATGTCGTATAATTATAATTGGTATTATTGGAGATTTTCTGTTGTATCTAAAGCTTAGTTTATTATTCAGTAGATACAACAGCTACAGTATCAATAGTTTTGTCTTGTGCACCAGTTACATGTGTAAGGTTGTTGATTAATTTTATACTAGGGACTACAGATTGGGTTTTAGGCTATTGAATAATTAATAGGAGATAATAGATTTAAAATAATTTACTATTTTCTTATATTTGGGCAAGTTAAAATATATTTTAAGCAGAATGAGGCAAACTGGAAAATAATTAGAATAAATAGATGTAATTGAATGTGAAGAGTAGCTGTAAATGGATATGTGAGACATTGTATGTGTCCAGATCTTCAGTTATATATAGCTTCACAAATGATATTATGATGCTGTTAGTCACTCAGGACCAAAGTAAGTGAATTTGTCACCATCATTGTCCCATTATCTGTTCTAAAGGTTTATAAACCCAGTTTAATTAAAAGTAGTGAACAACACTGTTAAACTACATCAATAAACATCACACCACTTCTTCAATAAACATCACACCACTTCTCATACAATAAGACTTCCGAATTAAAGAACAACTTAACTTGAGCAAGAGGCAAATGAAGCTGATAATTGTCTGGCATGATTGAGTTCTGTGCCCAGTTGGAGTAAATGAGATCTCAAGGTGGATTTTGCCCTGGATTGGAGTCACTGCTGGGTTCCTGGCCAGTGTTCCCCAGGCACTGCCACGCCCACTTGCAGGGAAACACAGGTGCCTCTTCGGTGTTCACAACTTTGAGACCATCTCTGGAATCAAGAGTCTGATGCAGGTGTTTGGATGCGTTCAGCCTGATTTCTTCTTGAGAACTGCAGGGTTGAACGTTGGAGTTTTGTTGAGGTGATGGTTTTTTCTTTCCTAAAAGTAACTTAGGTGTGTGGACCGGGCTTTAAGACAGGCTTCCCAGTCCTCTTAGAAAACACCAAGGACTTCTGGGGGAGTGTGGATTCCTCTATGCAGGGAACAAAGCTGTGAGGTCTCAAGTAGTGGTGTCCTCCAGGACCTTCCTCTGAAACATTTGCCCTCTCTTTGTAGTAGTGAGTATTAAATGGCTCATGTTTTCAGATAAAAGAAAATTAAATTAGTGTTGATTCTTTTGGGACCGAAGAAATCATTCACTGCTCATAGTTGTGCCATTGAATTGGCATGAGAGACCCAAAATCATAGTGTGAGGGCTGGGAGGGACTTTGGGGTCATCTGGTCGACCCCATTGCTTTACCGAGAAGGCTCGGGCTGCTGGCCCATAGCCTCTTGGTCACCGTGGGAACCATGGCACAGTCAAAGAGAATTCAGGCCTCCTCATGATGAGCCATGTGCCCTCTCCAGTCTCAGCTTCCTTCAGTTTTCCATTTGGTTTGGTGGTTGGGCTTTTTGCCATTTGCTGAGTTGCACATTTTAGTAAGTAGAAACTTAACAAGTTTTTAGTGCATGAATGACTGAGATGGAGCCCAAACACTGTGCTATAGAGATACTAGATGGCAGTGCTTGAAATAAAAAACACAGGCTCTAACTTGATCCCTTTTCGCTCATAACCAAAAATTAAGTCTCTGGCCATGTATCCAAGTGACTCGGACTMATTGCTCATGTTTTTAACCTTTTAGAGCAGAAGAATCGATAACAGAAGATGACAAGAGGAGGTATGTTTGGTGTTGCACCTGGCTTTAATTTAATCATTCTGACCACACCTCATGGATTGAACACTCTGTGTAGCACATTACCAATAACACAGAGTCCATGGGAAGCTTTGCCACACAGAACACAGGTAAGAGCATGAGATCTGGAAAGGAACTTGCCCAGGATTCAGAATCTGTGCTTCTGTCCAGCAGACTGGGTTTTTGTCTTGTGCGMAGCCTCTGCCCATTGCCAGCCTGTGGCCTTTGGCTGTTCTACCTCGGGGGTGACTTCCTCTCATTTCCCAGCCTTCCCCATTCTCTCCTCCTCCTCCTCCTCCAGTTGGCTGCACCCTGCTCTCTTTACTCCTTACCTTTCCCTCCTCTCATTTCATAGCTTATCTCCTCATGCAGAAAATGTTTTTGTTGCACTAACAGCTGATCCCATGGTGACCACTCTGAATTCTTGATCACTGTTGATTGATTACCTGTAACAAGTTACTCCACCGATATTTATTATCATACTAACTTATAACATCCCAGCTTCTTCTTTCTCATTGCAAATAAAAATTTAAAAATTCTATTAATTCAATAATTTTCTTATATAGCTTCTTTTTAAAATTTTTTTATTAGTTGCTCAAAACATTACAATGATCTTGACATATCATACATTTGATTCAAATGGGGTAMGTAATCTTAATCTTATTTTTCCATGTGTACAGATTGCAGGATCACATTGGTTATACAGCCACGTTTATACATAGGGCCATACTAGTGTCTATTGTATTGTGCTGCCCTTTCTAGCCACCCCTCCCCTCCCGTCCCCTCTTTCTACCCAATCTACTGTGACACGTTTTTTCTCTCTCTCTCTTCTTTCTTCCCCCTCACACCATCTTATATGTAATTTTGCATAACAATGAGGGTCTCCTCATTCCCACGCACCTCTCGTCCCTATTTAATGGTAATCTTCTTCTCATGCTCTTCCTCCCTGCTCTGTTTTGAGTCAAGCCCCCCCCCACCGCCCTTATATCAAAGAAGACGTTCTGCATTTGTTTTTTAGGGATTGGCTAGCTTCACTTAGTATAATCTGCTCTAATGCCATCCATTTCCCTGCAAAGGCCATGATTTTATTGTTTTTTTAGTGCTGAGTAATATTCCATTGTGTATAAATGCCACATTTTTTTTT